CAGAAACAGTCAGAGGACAGAGCACCTGTCCTCTTATGAACTGCGGAGAGAGGTGGAGTTATTCAGATTTGCGTGAAGAACAGGTCCAGGGAGACTTTATAGCCGTTTTCCAAAACTCCAGAGTGGCTTTGAACAAAGTGAGGGACACCTTTTTTTAAAAGGGCCAGTTACAATAGGATGTGGGCAAATATTTTTAAACACAAAGGAGATGCAATCAGAGTAGGTCTTAGGAAGAATTTGTCTACTTGGAGCATGGTGCCACCCTGGCACAGGGGTCCCCAAGATCTTCTAGGTGTCCCATCCCTGGAACCATTCCAGGTCAGGGGGAACAGGGCTCTGAGCAACCTGATCTCTTTAAAGATGTCCCTGCTCATTGCAGGACACTTGCACCAGATGACATTTACAGGCCCCTGCCAGCCCAGCCCAGTTGAGGATTCCTCACCATTTTCATTTGAAGAGCAGCAAGAATGGAGGTGAGGAGGAAGGGGGCTCATCTGATGCCTTGGACTTCAGGGGAGGAGGAGCCCATCCCTCGCAGCCTGTTTCACCTGCAGCCCCTTTGCATTTTACCTGAAGGAGCTCCTTGGCAGACCAGCGCCGCTCCTCGTCTGTCTGCAGGCAGCAGCTCAGGAAGTCACGCAGGCAAGGTGAGAACAGGTTGGGCTGCTGCAGCTTTGGTATTCCTCGTATGGCTATCAGGAGTTGAGACTGGGGGAAAAGGAAACAGGAGGCTCCAGCTGCTTCTTTCCCATCTCTAACTGCTCTCCCTGAGCCCATTGTTTAAGCTCCACTCTGCAGTGGCACTTTCTGCCCTGGCAGAGACCCAGAGATGCCTTTCCTTTACCAACCAAAAACCCAAACCCCGATGCAGCCACAGCTTTTCCAAATTCAGCAGATCTTGCCTTGGCAGCTGATTTCGTTGACTGACCCGTTAGTGGGAACTACATCAGCACAGCATGTTTCCTTCCCTGAGGATTCACACCAGCTTGACAGGCTTTTGGGAAGAGGGACTTTGCTATACTAACTCTGCTATTTCCAAGGATTAGTACATGAAAGGCATCTCTGCAGTGCTTGTTGGTCCCAGAAGCACAGCTGCCATAAAACAAAACTCATCAAGCTGTTTGCTTTGTTCTTGAAAACAATGGGAACTGGAAGGAACGAAAGGAAATCCACCAGGTGTTCCTCAGGTAAGGAAACAAACATTTAAATCTCAAATTCCACACAGACACATTAAGATGCCCGCACAAATGTACTGGGATGAAAATGCTTGTTTGGGCACACAGGAGCCACCTGCAGCTCTGTCTCTCAGCAGTCTGAAAAGTACAGCTTCCCTTATGTGGAAAAGAAAAACTTTTCATGGTCAAATCAGAAGGAGAATTGCCATCCCTTTGGGAACCCTCTGCTCATTTGGATACTCAAGTCAATACATTAATGATAGGCCCATCCCAGAAAGTGCCAGGAAACAAATGGGAGGTTTTGGCAGGCTCTCCACATCACCAGGCTCCGGCTTGGTGACGTGGAGAACGTGGCTTGGGCTATGAGAAAAAACACGGTCATTGGGTGTTTCAGCAGCACTGCCCAAGAAGCAGAAGAAACTCTGTGACCTTTACACCCTCATGCCCAGGTTTCAGGCATGTTTCCCAGTGAGAAGAAACTGCACACGGGATGCAGTTCCTCTCTAAAAACTGCTGCTTTAGAAACTTTGTTGGGTTTTGGTTTCTTTTCTTCATTTCTGGAAATGTAACAGCAGTTCTGAGAGGCTTGCGTTGTGGTTTTAGGGGCATCCTCACAGACAGACAAGTGGGAACAACTTGACACCCAAAGCAAAGTGTTGCCTGAGAAGAGCTGGGGAGTGTTTGCCTGTGCTAAGGCTTGAGCTGTCTGGCAATCCCCTCCCACGATGTGCAGAAACACCCAGCTGCTCCCCGGGACTCAGTCCCTCTGGGCACACAGGCCTCTGGAAACACCTGGCAATTCCAGCCTTTCTCCTGCTCAAGAGCATCTAACCTAAGCTGAGCTCTAGTTTCTTCAGCAAAGCCAAGGATGCTCACTTCCATGCAGCTGGCAGTGTTCATGGAGCTCAGCAGGTCTTCCTGATAGTCCCCAGGCCAAGGAATTACTGTGTAATTTGGCCAGACATCGGGTGAACATTATACAATGTGGTTCATGCGGAACCAAGCTCTAACGCGCTGACAAGCCAGAGGGAGAGAGCTCATTCTGCTTTTGCAAGATGTTACTTAGAAACACAAGACACAGACTTGGAACTACTCAAACCTCAGCTTGCAGAATCCATCTAAAATGGACCAAAATAACAATGGCAAGAGGCCTTGGAGTCTCCCTAAAAATGCCCACCATTATAATAATAACTCTGCGCTAATGGCGGTGAAATAGATGGTGGCCAAAGAGACTTTGTTACTTTCCTCTTCACCACAAAGGAAAATTTCAAATCTGAAATGGCAATGCACTCCCCTTGATTACAAATAATAATGGCAGCTTTCTTTCCTTTTCCCACCCCACCAGAGGTCACAAAGAGGGTTTTATCCTGTCCCTCTGCAGCTGAACTCAGCCACTGGACATGGTGGGGAGCTGGAGTCCTCACTGCCATTAGAACTGTGCAGCCCAGGGATGGCCCTGCTCCTGTGCTAAAGAAACACAGCACCGGCATCAACTGCCCACGTTGGATCCCAGCCCAGCACCTGGCTGCAAGCTCAGCAACCTGTTAAAGTACCAAGAAACAGCCAAGGGTTTGGCATACAATTCTAACTGCAGTCAGGGAAAAACACATCCTAAACTTATCCAGGCCCCTGAAGCTTGAGACTGAATCTTGAGCTCCAGACTCCCTCTGGAAGGGACACACACACCCCAAACACCACTCCGGACTTCTTGTGGTTCCTTGTCATTCCTCTGTGCCTGTAGCAACTTTGTCACCAGCTCACAGCGGGTGTCCCTGCACTGCCACCAGCACCATTTTTGGGGAGCTGGCAGTCACTCAAAGCAGCCCCATACCCAAATCCCTTCAACGCTGCACCTGACCAAGAATATACTGACCCAGCTTGACAGAACCATCGGTTCTGAGAAGGATGTTGCTGCTCTTCACATCTCGGTGCATCACATGGTTGGAGTGGAGAAAATCCAGTCCTTGCAGGCACTGAACATGACTGAACAATGTAGAGATGAGTTCAAAGCCTGAAAGTTTTGAAGACGACAGGATTTGGAAAAGATGCTACAGTATGGAGGAAAATTGATATGCTTTGGTTAATAAAGGGAAAAGCAAGCAGAACTGCTTGGGCATTGCTTTGTTATTTTTTTCTCCTTTTTCTTTTTCTTTTTCTTTTTCTTTTTCTTTTTCTTTTTCTTTTCTTTTTCTTTCTTTTTCTTTTTTCCATTTTCCTTTTCTTTTCCTTTTTTTCTTTTAATTTTCTCTTCCTTTTCCTCTTCCTTTCCCTTTTTCTCTTACTTTTTTTTTTCTTTTCCTCTTCCTTTTCAATTTCCTTTTTTCTTTTTCTATAAAATTGAGACTAGGACAATTCAATCTCCATTTTGAAGGATATTTATCACACATCCAACCATTCCACTGAAAAATTTCTTTCCTTCAGAGACAGAGCTCCAACATTATTCAGAAAGCATATGAGACATGTCAGGCATGCCTGGAGGCCCAAATGGCAGGTTTCTGAACTGGTTAGGTTTCTGAACTGCCACTTCCTTTCTGATGCAACCAAATCTACAGCAGGTGCTGATGTGCTGCAGGGACATTTCTAGAAGGGGACCTTGGTGGAAGTGGTGCCAGCAGATGGCAATGGGATTTTGTCCCATGGCACGCAGAACATGGGACAGGTGAGAAAGACAGCGGGATCAGTGAGTATTTGCTCCTTACCGTGCCAGGAGTTTCATTCCAGTAAGGAACTTCTCGTTCCACCATTTCAATGCCCACGATTCCCAAAGACCATATGTCCACTTTGGGGCCATATGGTTGACCTGTCACCACTTCAGGCGCCATCCACCCAGAAGGGCCGGCCACGGAGCTCCGTCTGCTCTGCTCAGGGGTGAGCTGAGCAAAGAGGCCAAAGTCAGCTGTGGAGAAAACAACAAACCATCAAAACCAGCTCCAATTAGGAAACTAAGCAAAAGAATTCCCCACTCTCAGTCTAAGAATGTGCTGTTGAATCTCCTGGAGAACTGTCCACACTTGGTTTCCTTGGGGCTTTAGCCAAAGAAGTATGGTTTTCAAAAAACCACAGGTTTTTTACCGCTGCTCACAGCAATGACCTTTATTCCCCAGAAGCTTGAGACTGTAGCTCCCTCTCTCTGGAAGGGACACACATAGAGCAATGCCACTCTTGACTACTAGTGGCTCCTTGTCATGCCTCTGTGCACGTTGCAACCATGCCACCAGCTCACAGCGGGTGTCCCTGCACTGCCACCAGCACCATTTTTGGGGAGCTGGCAGTCACTCAAAGCAGCTCTACGCCCACATCCCTGCAACGCTGCACCTGACCAAGAATATACTGACCCAGCTTGACAGAGCCGTCAGTTCTGAGAAGGATGTTGCTGCTCTTCACATCTCGGTGGATCATGTAGTTGGTGTGGAGAAAATCCAATCCTCGCAGGCACTGAGAGAGGAAACA